GTGTTTGTGTTCGTGTGTGTGTGTGTGTGTGTGTGTGTGTGTGTGTGTGTGTGCATGTGTGTGTGTGTTAGAGGCAGGATGTGAGTGATCACCCTGTGAGGGAGATGGATGATAGAGCACAAAAATATGAATCATCAGCAGACGGCCGGGCGGTCCTTCCCTCTCGGTGTCTGTCTCAAAGCCTCCTGGGAGCTCAAAGCTCTCAGGAGCAGAATCCTGATTGCAGATCTCCTCAATCAACTCCCACATGACGGGGCGGCCGCTTCGACTAATGGTAAAGGTGTCTTTTCCATAGGTTTAAAAGGTTTAAAGTCACTGTACAGAATGAATGAGAAGGATAAAACACAGGTATGCTAACAGCAATGAATAATTGCAGTTTGTCTAAGAATAACTTGGGAGAAAACATGGGGAAAACATGACCTGAGCCCTGTTAAAACATGGTTTTAGTGTTTGTTTCTTAGTTTGTTAAAACTGTGACTAGTTTACTCTCACTAATCTTTGATGATCCGAAACAATTTTTATACATAGGTATACATTTTGTCTTTTAGTTTTGGTGCAAAATTTGAACTATTAACAGAAAGAGATTGAAGATTGAAGAGATGACCCAAGGGAAAAATAAGAGTATGAGATGTGCCAAATATAAACTAATGAATTATAATATTTGAGAGATAGTGATGAGTTGTGAGAAGGTGTCCCAGTCTTGTTTATGAAGTTTGATGAAATTAAGAAGTAATTGTTCTGGGGGCGTTTGTTTTTTCTTTTGTTGGTCTTCATAGATAGATAGATAGATATGATTGGCTTAGGCCTGGACCTGCCCCTAGTTATGCTGCTAAACTGCCAGGGGATCTGGCAGACCAAGCTCCTATCTCTCCCTTATCTCTCCCTCTATCTGTATGCATTCAAATCACTTTACCAGAAGTCCCTAAGTTTAAATCTTCATGTACCGTTCAAGTTACTAAGCATATATCTTCCTGGGAGTTTGTGAGTCTACTACCTACTATCTACTTTCATTATTACCAATATTATTGTTAATCAGAGCTACTTGACTCAACCTGCTTTATATTTAACATTGTAAGACCTCCTCATTTTATCGTCATTATAGTTGTAAATGTTAATATTAAACAAATCAGTCGATTATCAGACATCACTGTCCTGCAAATACCACACATTCTTTTATTACTGGTTTCTGCCTGTTAAAACAGCGTTTTTTTCTAGCCACTGTTACTTTGCCAAGTGCTTTGCACATGCTGGATTAACGCTGGGTCTCAGTAAATAATATAACAGAGTCCCTTCTAGACCTCCTCTGTTTGTAAAGTGTCCTGAGATGACTATTTTCTTTTCTACAAATTCTGTAAAAATAATAAAGGTTGATTGAGTTATTGACCTGGATGTGATTATTTTTGGAGATGACAATAATGCAACTTCCCCGCAGTCTGGAAAGTTGGTATAATAACACCTAATAGAGCCAGAGATGGTTTTAAAATCTGGGCCATGCAAAGTCTCAAAACCAAACCCCGTTATTGACTTGTGCTTGGTTGAACCTAGAGATGACCATCAAACAAACTAGATGTTTGGCTATCAAAATGAATTTGCAGCATGGTCACTCTGGTCATTTTCAGAGCTTTCTGGGTTCTCCTTCAGTGATGATGAAATTAAGAAACTTTCCAGTCAGCATGCCTATACCCACAAACATGCTCACCGTCTGTGTCCCAGTGTTTTTTGGCTAATCTGTACCAGACCTGTTCTATAATCCCTTGATTGCCTGAGGATCAACATGATGGCCTCTTTAAGATGATGACACAAAAACGCACCTGACAGAAGGAATGGCAGTAAAACTCACACTGCGCCCCACGACTTCTTGCTGCAGATTTAGAACAATAACGCAGGGAGGGAAAACATTTCTCAGCCAACAGGATTACAGCTGCACAAGTTTAACAGACGCATAATTAAGAATATCTTCCAGACAACAAAGCAAACACATTGTTATCTTTGAGATTTTATGAGAGCTGAGAAAATAAAAACATCTCGCATGATTTCCTGGCAATCTGTAGTAATCACCATGGAGAGCTGGTGGACCATCAACGATACAATCAACTACTTTAGACACACAGTCAGCTCTGTGCGGCTCTGAGTGCCTCTTATTTATGCTCTGATTTCTTTTTTGGCAGAGCTGCTTTTTGTAAGAGTAACAGTATGAACAGCAAGAACCGACATTATTTGAAGGGAGCGATCAGAAAAGGAGTCAATTCTTTCTCCTCTGCCTGCAGTGATGACTGCTGACGGCTCACTCAGGTCCTCTGTGTCTGCTCGCTGGGAGTAAATGTGTGTCCCTGTGTATGTGTGTGTTTGTACAACAAACTCTGGTTAGGTTTTGGTGGATGTGCAGCGATCCCACCCATCTCCACCCAGTCCTGAAATACACCAGGCAAGATGGTAACAGACACAGATCCACTGACAGGCTTTATGAAAGTTGCTGTTTGAATCCTTTAATAATCCCTCTAGAGACGAATTACTTTCTAAACCAAATCAAATGTATCCACAAAGGCGACTGACTGATTTCACAAAGGCTTAGATTAAACAAGGAGCATCATCAGGGGGTTTTCTCACATGGGGAAATCAAACGATTACAGGGGTAGAAATCTGTTGGATAATAACTTGGATAACTTAGATTGTTTAAGGTTTAAGGTAATACTTTTTCTCAAGCTAAAGTCAAAGCCCATTTTAATTATCATACCTCAGTCACTCAAGGTTTTACCAAAACCTGTTCACATGGGAAAAGAAAGTGAAGATTGTGAATAATAGCCAACATTGACATTTGGGGGTCAACTTTTATTTCTGACTTTTTAAAGAAATTCAATTTAGCTGATTTTGATGTTTTAGTCTATATCTCATAAAGGAGTAGCCTACTGTTTTACCCAGTGACGTTTCAATAGTAAGAATTAAGAGCACGACTAGTCAGCTATTTAGCAGTTTCCACTCTAAGCTGTGCGACCTGCTAGCTTACATTAGGGTTAAATTTTTTTAGAAAAGGGAGCACAAGTTTTAGCTATAGCTAATATTGTTTTGCTAGACTCTCAATAAGGACAGCTAGCGTAATGTGTGGTTTCATCCATAGACACTTGACACAACCTAATTCCGAAATGTAAGCTACAACTAAATTTTAATAAAGCTGTTAATCTAACTAGCTGATAGTAGCTGTGAGACATAAATGGTAAATGGACTTGAGTTTAAACAGCGCTTTTACACTGCTATGGCTATGTAGTGAGACCATCATAAGTAACTAATCCCATTCATACACCACCGACGAAGCAGCAGGAGCAATTCGGGGTTCAGTGTCTTGCCCAAGGACACGTCGCACATGTTGTTGCAGGAGCTGGGGATCAAACCCTTGACCTTCCGATTGGGAGTTGACGACTCTACCAACTGAGTCACATCCGCCCCCGACATGAGCATTGACATCAATTTCAGACACAAGCTTATGCCTTGATGGCAGTGAGATGAGATGTTGTACCAACATCCAAGGCTACATTTACACGAGAACGATACTCCCAAAAACTGAGTCATTTTTCGTTTTCACAAAAGTTCAGTGTTCAGACGACAACGTTTTGATAACAACAGCAGTGCTGACGGATCTGCAAAAACCAACAACTGAAAAAGCTGTCCAACAAATGACAGTCCAGTTGTTGGCAGTGTGACTTTTTAATAAAACAACATGCACAGGTGCATTATTACTCTTCCTTCTACAGAGGAGTGAGGTGTAAAAACACAAAAATGGCTAACACACAAATGTTTGTGTTGACCCACGATGAGGTGGGGTTGTTTCGCCAAATGGCCATATAAAGAGAGTACATTTCAGTCCACTTCGAGTCATGCCAGCCCAAATTTTCACAAAAAGAACTCACGAGTCCACCATTGTTGGAGTAGTCCACCTACTCATGCATGACTATTGACTGTTATCTTAGTGCCCATATGGAGGGTCTCCGTTTTCAGAAAAACAGCAACGACAGAAACAATGCTGTTTTCAGTCTTTTCACTCTGGAACCCGTTTTCAAAACTTTCTGTTTTCAGGCACGCCTTTGTCATGTATACGTAACAGCCAAAACACAACGTTACTGTGTTTAGATGAAATCATGTATACTGGGCTTAATTACTGGTGTCCAGTATCAGTGTGCCTTAATTTGTATTACAAGATTCCTCAAATCAGGAATATGGGCAGTATTGTTATATTTGTGTGTACATGTGAGCCTATGGGATATGCAATATTGATGATTCAACATTTAGTTTCTAACTTTAATTTTTGTTGTTATGCTGATTATACTGTTTTTTATAGCTGTGGTGCTTCTCTCAGAAGGAGTAGCCTAATCAAATCACCTGCCTGTGATATTTATGTATTTTAAATTCCTGACTAAATGTGGAATGTGCCTCATCATGATAACAAAATAAATAGTTTTGTTTTCTCATGCTAGAAGGGAACCAACAGGCATTGAGGATATTGGCACAACTCAGGGGACTCTTGTTGTTATTTTGTTAGTATTTTGCTGCTACAAATTGTGATAAATGATTTGCTGCTGATTATGGAAAGCTCAAGCTGACCAATTAAGTTTTCACTTAGTTATAACTAAAAGTGGCATTTTATTTAATGCTAATCCATTAATTAGGCTAATTGAGCTAATGACCTGACCTGCATGGCAGGATTGAAGTATTTTGCTTGAAGTCTTTTCAGCAGGGAAGCTGTTCAAAAACACACTCTCTGCACTGTACAGCAGGAGCTGGGAGGACGTGCACGCCGCTGCTGGTTGTACATGGAAGTGATCCAGATCATGAGGGCTGGACTGGATCCAGGTGCAAAAAAAAAGAAAAAGCCTGGCAGGATCATTAAGAGGGAGAGCGCGCGCGCGCACACACGCGCACACACGCGCGCACACACACACACACACACACACACACACACACACACACACACACACACACACTGACACACACACTGACACACAGTCAGAGCAGAGCAGAGCAGAGAGAGGCTCTCTCCAGATCGGTGCCAGACGCACGGAGGACTTTTGTTTTTGCGCGACTTGTTCAACGTTTGAGAAGTTTTTTAAAAATAACTATATTAAGACTTGTTTGTTACTTACTCTGGTGTCAAGTGTGGCCTATTTAAATTGTGTTTCTTTTTGACGCTTATTTGGAATATTATCGGGATTTAAAGTTGGATACTGTCACGACGCGCAGGTAGGGTAAAGTTTGGAGAAATAAAGGCTGAGATTTACATCACTTTGTGGATGTTTTGTCCACGGTGAGTGCGGGCAATGATTTAACGAATATTTTATGATTTTTCTTTTTTTTTTTCACAACTTGTTTGCTTTCAGAAGTCATCCAGGAAAAGTTTCCCAGGGATTGTTTCTTTTTCGACCGAGGAGCGCGCAGCAGCTGCTCGCAGCGCTTCAGGAGAGAGAGAGACTTGTCAGTGCGACTTCGTCCGGGCTGATTTCAATTGTACTGAGCGGTCCCAGAAATGGTGGGGCACCTACATTTACAAGCGATGGATGATAGTCTAAAAGGAAAGAACCGAGAAGGGCTACTCGACAGTCCGGATTCGGGTCTGCCACCCAGTCCCAGTCCGCCCTTCTGCTCCCTCTCTCCGGGTCTGATCGAGTCGCGCTCCGGCAGCTGCACGACGCCCGTCGAAAGCCATCATGGATTTTATAAAAAGGAAAGCAGAGAAGGCAAACTGGTAAGAAACACATCGCTGCATTTAGGCTATTCTACGTTTTGAAACAATTGTGATCTGAAGCAGTGATTCTGTTCTGCTTTCTGTCCTGAATAATTTCGCCTTCAGTCACTTATTTGACAACCAGAATGAACGGATAAAAACACTCAAATAATAAAGCTGCTGTGAGAGAAACTGAAAATCTGAGAGCAGTTTAGTGTTTGGCAAGAAACTGATTTTACTTCAAACCCACTCACACCACATCTGGAAGCTCTCTCTCTCTCTCTCTCTCTCTCTCAATCCCTCCCTCTCTCTCTTTCTCTCTCTGCACTAAATTCCTCAGCTGCAAACTTCACATGTTGCACTTGTGCTAAAGATGCCACAGAGTCCTGATAATAATGATACAAAAGAAAAGATTCACTCTGCTGCATCAGCTGAGCATTAACCACTTGGTTTCAGAGGGGTCAGTGGGTTGATTAGGCACAGTTGAGTTTCCAAGCTGGGGTCCAGGGACTCCCAGGGGTCTTTGCCAGGATTCAGGGCTCCACTGCAGGCTTATTACAAGTGGACGTAATCAACCCAGGTTTGTAATGGCTGTTGGCATGTATATGAGTGCAGGTACATATGAGCATGACTATTGTGACACGGTAATGGTGTTGGCTTAACATGGGGACTGTTCAACTCTGGGTTGGTCTCCACGGTGTGTCATTTCTGTCATGTTGATTAGAAGGCTGAGTCTCAGTGAAGTTATAATCATCACTGAGCAGGACTTTAAGCTCCAACATTTTTTTTTAAATAAGCCATCTGCTGCTGATTGCTCTCTTGTCCTCCTTAGAAAACCTTTTAAAATGAACGGGAAGAAGTAAGCGTAGTTCTTATTTATTAGATCAGTACTTCCCCATTCCTTTTCCAAAGTGAAGCAATGTTGATGTGCAACACCTTCTTTAAAGGGTATGTATGTGTTATACAGAAAAGTCATTTACCTAAACATGTAAATATCCCATAATGAAAAATTTATTATGTACAGGTGGGACTGACTCCAGCCCCTAAACAACCCCAAACGAGGACAACTGTAGAGATAATGTAGTAATAACAAAGTGATGAAAGTCAGAGTTGTGTAGCAGGAATGCAGATATTTGTTTCTGCTTTCGTCTTATTAATCACCTTGCAACCCTTGCTGGAATCTGCCAGTGTTGATGTTGTTGCTGTTGCACGATGGTCTCCATGTGTTTCGCTCAGTCTGTGAACATGGATATCAAAATCATCAATCAAAGAAAATGCTGAAATAAAAAAGTGCAGGAAGCAGACAAACACAATAAAGTGTGTTAATCTAAGGCTCAAAGCAAATGATTGAATAAAGCTAGATCTGCAGCTGGATGCCAGGATCTTGCAGGTTTAAATAATGTTCAGCTCTCAATGAAAAGTGTCACTGTTCATAATAATACTATAAAATATTTGTTTCAATATGTCATCTCATATCCCACCACAGAAATGACCAATTTCATACATAAAACTGTGTTGTGTTTTTTGAACATTATATCGCCATGCTTTTAAAGCCAGATAGATTACTGAATAATAAAATGTTAGGGTTAAAACTGCTTAATATCGCCATCGATTTGTGAAAAAAAAGCTTCCCTAAATACGGACCAAAGCAACCCAAGCCGAGATTAGTATATAGAGATCTGAGGACAGACATGACAAATCACAAAAATATAAATGATTCCATAGAAATGGATGCTAATTAATGCTGTTCCCAACCTTCTACCTTTCTTATCCTGCAGTGATTTGTGTGGCTCGTGACATAACGATGCTGATTTTAATGAAAAATAATTTCCAGGTCACTCCCAGCTTCAAAGTCTTAAGAACATGTCTGCGCAAGTCGGGGTGGCTTTTAAAGTGTCTGAAGGAGGCCTCAGAAATGCAGTGCTGCATCCTGGGAGTTGCGTGACATTCGGTGTGCTGAAGCCTGAGACAGAAAGAGAGAGAAGTCCTCTAATCCTCTGGAGGTTCAGAGAAGAAGGACTGCCCTCTTTGTGGTTTCCCTTTTTAAAGATCAGATCTGATAGAGGTTTGTGTTTCTAATCCTGTCTGTTTGCACGGAAAGAGTCAAACTTTCCACCACTTATTGTTTTTATAAAAGTTTCCTTGGGTTGTTTTGGTACATGTCTGTTTGCAGCATGTGAGGATAGACCTATGTGTGATTATTTTCATCGCAAATACATTTTTGTGTTGTTTTTGTATGCCATCTAAGAACAATCCCCAGGGTCTATTTCTGGGGTGTGGGGGCTTGTTAGGGCGGCTGCAGGACATTGCATAAGTGTTTGATGACCTCTCACTTCTAAATTAAACGTGGATAAATGCTCAGACGCGCTGTCTGTTTTCAAACATGAGAAAAACTTGTGCTAATCCAGGATAGTTAATCTAATATAAGCCTTAACATGTTATTAAATGACAAGAGGGACCAGATGCATGAAAAATATGAGTGAGTGTGGTCATGTCATCTCGGGTGTTTCAGTGCTTTAAAAGGTCATTAACATGTCCTGTTTAAGGATAACGGTCAAGTGTCAGTGGGATTAGACTGGAGGATAGATCTCATGACTTTTTTTAAAATCTGCCTCCCTGGGTGATATCGATGCTGCAAAATTAATGTCCTCGCAAACTCAGGATGTAAAATCTGAGGCTTTACTTTACAAACAGGCAGCAGTTGGAGGACTTGTGTTTGCGTTGGCGTTTGTCTCGACAGCTCTGCATTGTGCTTTGTACACTGTGTGGGTTTCTCAGCTGCAGACTGTTTTTACTGGGCAGAAATGTGTTTCCAGGGGGGTAAAGCTTTGTGTGCACACCAGGGGATCCTAGAGGTGACCTGCCAGCAATTCACGAGTGTTTGAATTTGCAGAAGTTTCCAGAATGCACCGTTCAGGAATACCTGGGATGCTCACCATGCCCGCACAATATGAGCAGGATAGACAACAACATATTTGTACTGTTTCTGCAGGAAACAGCAGAAAACAAACAGCCCGCAGATGAAATGTTTTAAGTCCTCTATGGTGAAACTAGCAGCTGTGAAAGTTCAGCTCCACTGTGCTGATAGTGTGTGTCAATGATCAGGTTATAGGTAAGACGAGCCGCCATGCCCTTGGCCTGTTCTCGCTCGTTCCATGTAGTGGCATGTGCGCTCAACTGCAGCCAAACCACAGCATGTGACAGCCTCCTATGTGAAATGTGAGAGAGGCCGGAGCTGTGGACGGTGGGCCATTTGATTCAGAGGTGGTCAGTATGTGGAGACAAATGTGCAAACACCACGATTCACAGTGTTGGAAAGGATCTGTTTCTTATTGGTACAGCTCCGTTTGTCAAAGATTAGGGATCGGCACAGACCGTGTTCATACGGTTTATTGGGTACCGATATTATCATGAGGAAATCATATCCTATCTGATATCTGCACTGCTTCAAACAGAAGCGCTGAAAGAATCCCTTGAATTCATACAAGATTATTTTACAGCTGAAACAAGTAATCAAAAAATAAATCAGTGATCAGGCAGAAAATTCCCAGGTAGCAGTATAGAAATGTTGAGTAATTAGCTCTGCCAAAGAAGTGGTTAGTTTTTTACTTTGTCTATCCATCAATACAGTACTTACCTATTCTGCTCACCCTTTTAGGGGTTGTGGGGGGCTGGAGCTTACAGCAGTTGTCTTTTGACGAGACAACTGGACAGTTTACCTGGACAGGTCACCAGTCAATCCCAGGGCTGACATACAGCCAGTCACACTCACATTCACACCGATGCGAAATGTAGAGTGACTAATTGACCCAACAAGTATTTAGTTGGACTGTGGGTGAAAGCCAGAGTCCCAAGAGGGTATGCACGGGGAGAACATGCCAATACCTCACAGAAAGGTTCCTGTCGGGCAAGGGATTTGAACCAGGAACCTACCTGCTATCCAGCAACCTGTGTCTGCCTATCTAACCTCATTTAATCATTTAAATTTAATTGAATGAATTTAATGTAATTTAAAATGCATCAACACCATCTACTTTAAAGAATGCTGGTATAAGGATGTTTATTAACTGTTATTCTAGAGCAAAATGTAAATTTCAATGAAAATAAATCAGTATTCATATCCGGAAACTTGTTACAGTAATTTGCCTTTTTCTTGAATCATCATTTCTCAGTTTGGTTACAGCTGCTCTGTAGACTCATTTTAATAAGCGTGTTTCACTTTTCTGTAACTACTGTGGACCCAACATCTGTGTCTACACACACACACACACACACACACACACACATTGACACTCACAGGCTGTAAGGGTCACATGTCTCCAGCCGGCCTGAGCTGCAGTGAAACCTTGCAGGAGAGACATTTACCACCAACACTTCATTTAACTAGACCCACACAGCGTAATTATATGGATTAAAATGGAAGTGTTGCCCCCACTGCTGCATTTTTCTGTCTAATTGTTGTTGTAGTAATCACCATGCGAGTTCTCATGAGGAGCTGATCAAGGAGTGTGTTTTCCTGAAGCGGGAGGGGAGCGATGTGTTTTTCATTTGTGTTGTTGGCTCGGCTGAAACCCTAAAAAACGCTGACATTTTTGGGTCTTTTACTGGAATTCCTTGAATGGACACGTTGGCAGGCTGATTACAAACAGTTCAGCAGTTCATGGAGGTTTGTGTGAGATTGTGACTCTTGTGTTTCCTTCTGCACAGCTGCCCTACCTGCTGCTGAACTCCACAGGGACGGACCCAAAGAGTCGCATGCACCCTGTGTTCTTTGGAGAAAGCATCGAGGTCAACCCCAAACCAGAACAGGAGATCAAGTAAGAGAACTTCCTTTAATATGGAGCTTATTTTGATCAATATTTCCTGTGTCAACACCCCCCCTGGTGGTAAACTTTTGAAGTTTTTAAAGAGCTTTCACTTTCTTTTCTTCAGGTGCAACTCAGAGGTCAAGTACGACTCCGACAAGCATTACCGGGACCAGGTCTACTGCGCCCCTGTTCCAACTGCAACCTCCTTCAGTGAGACAGTGGTGGCTGTGCGAGACTGCACCTGGAGGAGCTACAAGTCCCAGGTGTACCTGGAGCCACGGCAGAAGCCCATCAGCTACCGGAGCACCACCATCATCTACCCGAAACACGCAAAGAACACTTACCGCACTACGCTCAACTACAATGCTACTGGGTCACGCCGCTGGTTTGTGTCCACGGTGCAGTTGGAGTCAAGCGAGGATACGAGTCCCTGTATCATCTACACAGAGGACCTGTAGAGCCCAGACTAGAGAGAGGACGTCCTGGTCTTCTTCTTGTTTTTTATTTGGAGGAAGAGAAACTTTGAAGGCCCGATTTGAAAGGGAAATACTTTAAGTAACATCTGGATTCTCTACTCTGTTCAAGATGGAGAAAACTCTAGTAACCCTTTAGTGATTCTTCACCTGAGTGTATTTAGACTCTCTTCTGATGCAGTCTTTAAAAAGGGGAGGGGGTCCTTTGGCTGTTTCAACGGTTAATGTCTTATTTAATACAAGAGTTGACAAATTGGTGGCCTTTGCTCTCCTTCCGGTTGGAGTGAGGGCAGAAACAGATGTGTTTTTATATAGAGGAAAGTCATGATGGTATATGTCGTGGATTTAAGATGAGTCACACCAATGCAAAGCTTTCTAATGTGGCTTTATTGCACTTGTTTTCTGAATATCAGCAGTCCTCTCAGTGGACTCGACATTGCAGGAGGTTATTTCAGTGCTGCATATGAAAAGTTGGACCAAAGATAGTTTGAACAGTATTGTTTTTGGATCATCTCGACATACCGAGACACAAGACTTTGATCAAGCATTTGACCGAGATAAAATGCATTTTTCAATTTTTCCACAGGCAGAATAGTCTCCAGGGTAAGGACTGGTGTTTAATCAAAAGGACAAAAGCACAGTAAAAGGGACATTTTTCTATCCTCTAAAACTTGGTTTCAAATCTTAAAGGTTCAATGTGTTAAAATGAGATCTATTTTGCGAGGTGAGTCATTATCTTTATAAGTAAGTTTTCATTTGTGTATAATCACTTAAAAATAGTTTTAAGAAATGTTTGCAATATTGTTCAAAGAAGCCATAAATGGACAAACCAAACTCTGACTTTGGAGATGGCCTTTAAATTGTACAATTGTTTAAGTCACAATCTCCCAGCTATTAGTGTCTCTCTCTATAACATTGAATATTAAACTGGGTAAGATAAACTTATCTTCTATTGAACACTTTGATTAAGAGACTGTCAGATTTAAGGCTGTTTTTGTTCAAAGGTCTTTAGGAGGTGCAGAAGGGTTGAATAGCAACAATCAAGAAGTTTGGGTATTAAAAAAACTATCCTTGTTATTTATTAAGAGTTAAGACATTCAGTTAATCTGTTTAGTTGGGGCTTTGGTGGGACTTCATCCTCTGTAGTTAGAGGATGTTGAAAACACGGACAGTTTGTTTTTTGGGGCCTTTAATGATGACAATCATTATTTTGTTTTTCAGTCAGATGATGGAGCTGTTCACATGGAAAAAAACCTGAAATTGAGGGAACCATCAGGGAAAAGTTTTTTTTACTTTTAAATACTTCTTTGTTGAACACTAAAACATTAATTATTTTAACTGCAATTGTTCCTGGATGGTTTTGTTCTACAAGTATTTGATGACAATCTTTTTCAACTTCAAATGATGTGAAAGCTGTTCTGGATTAAGTCTGCACCAGCTGTATGTGAAGTCAAGTTCTCTTTTATGTAATTTCAACCATATACAGAAACACGGTGAGATGACATTTTGTTCCTCTAAGACTGTGATGATACATAAGACATTTGAGAATTTAGAGGTAGACACATGAGATTAAATGCAGATACAAAGTGTCTTAAAACTGTTGAGGTAGAAAAAAAAATGTGTGGATTAAAAAAATTGGTGTCAAAAAAGTCAGACAGTAAACAAACAGTTGAAGTGACAAAAACAGATGAGGTGGCAAAAAACAATTAAGGGTGCAAAGAAACTGTTCAAGTGACAAGTTTAGTGATGTAGTCACATCACACTAAAGTGTGTGCAAGATGAGGATAAGTCGATAGTTTCAGACTATGAAGATAAATGATTATACACAAAACCTAAGAAATGTTTTAGCCATTAGAGACTATTAATTCATAAAGTGTATGCTAAGTCATTTAGCATATCGAGTTCCCCACAAATAAGACTTTAAAGAGGCAGACGATATATAAAACTGAAGTATCTGTCCTTGTTAATATACTTGTTAATAACCTATACTTGCTTCAGTTAATCAATGTGCATGTTGAGATATTTGGGGTTTAAGCTAACCTAGCTAACATCATTTGGTCGTTTTGTCTTAGCATTGACTTTGGTAATTTAAGGCTTTTTGTGAAACGTTATTAAAAATCTTTAGTTTCAGGTTATTGGCTTCATACATATCAAATATTACCTCTCTAATTGTTCACTCTAAGCTGCTCTTAACATTTTGTACATTAGCAAGCCAACGTTAGCTTTGTCATTTGGTCTTGTCAGTGTAGCTAACACCAGGCAGTTATTGGCAACAAATACAAATATTTCATTGAAACCAATATCTATAAAACTCACACTGGTGGACCGTTTGGTTTGAACTTAGCTTGAAATTACAAATAGCTGGTGCAACTGATTGTTTCATGTTGTTTTCAGGTACCAACTGGTTGTCATATGAGGCAGTTTCTGATTCAATGAATACGTGACATGTAAAAAGGGGAGCAGTGAAACCTGAGTTCCCTGCTGAAGATGTAAAATAGATTTTTATTGAGTGTATCCATGACTTTTTGTTGGCTCTTTCTTTTATGCACTCACCAGACACTTCATGAGCTACAACTGTACCATTTAACATTTGTGATGGAGACAATTTAAACTGAAATACAAGCAATGTAGAGAAATAATTCTAGGCAGAGCAACTCACATCACATTAAATTGTACATTCGGACCTAATGAAGTAGTTGGAGATATACAGTTTGTATTTAAAAAAACAAGATAACTCATCATGGAAAATATTGAAACTTTGGAATTTACCTCAAATTGTCTTAGATATTCTATTTCTTTACAAATGTGTTTCCTGACTGTCCTTCGAGGTCTTGAGTTTGCGTTGGTGGTGTTGTTTTTCAAGATTTAAATGCCCTGCGGTTCAGTGTAGGAGAGATGTGGATGGCATAAAGCGGAGGTGATGCATCAGTACTGTGCGATAAGGTGCTGTGTTTCAAAGAGGGGAACTGTAAAGTGAAGATAAACCAAGAGCAAGATGAGAAAAGCAATCTGCTCTTTCCGAAGACAATTTGGAGAGGATTATTTTTTAGAAGGCTCTTTATGAAAAATGGTTACCTTCTGGGTGAGGTGACGGAGAAGGTGATGTAGAGTTTTGTTATGTGTTGGTGGTCTGTGAGATGTCAGAGAGTGATGAGAGAAAGTTGGTGGGTGTTTAAAACGTCGGTGGTTTTGTGAGAGATACTTTTGTGTTTCCGAACACTTGATTTTTGTAACTGTAAAATATTTTCCTCTTGTATATGTGGCATCGAGGCACTTCATAATTCTCTTTATATTTTTGTACGTCAATCATTGCTCCTGTTCTGATCCAAGGACATAATTTAAAAAGATGTATATCCTTATTGAATAAAAAAAGAATTCCCAAACCCTAAACTTCTGTGCTGAGTGCATTTGTTGTCTTACTTTTTATCTTCCTGCTGAGCACAAGTTACTTTTTTATGTTTCTGAAAAAATGGGAAAGAGGAAGTTCTCCAGACGTAGAGAGGACCCCCTTTCTTTGCTCTGTTCCTGTTATTTAATCCAAAGCCAAGTTAAGATTTATGGAAACACAGTCCTGGAGGCTCCCTCTGTGGTCTGGCCAAACTGGTGCTGTACAATCAAAACACCTGATCAGTTTACAGTTTACAGGCAAGAGAGCAGAAACCATGTCTCTATTAGGCACTCATTCGTCTTGTTTAAAAACAGCTAAGACCATTTCAAAAGGAACAACATGGGGTACTTTTGGGGGGTTGGAAGTAGGATTCAATTCTAAGATGTAAATGGAGAACAGAAGCCTGATGAAGTTCTTAATATACTTTGTTGTGTACTTTTTGTGGGGATAAATATGTCTTGCATGTGCAAATACATGCAGTTTAAAAACACAAGGTAAGAAGTTTACACATGTTGGTACACTAAAAACACTGTTTCTCAATTACTACATTGGAGAGGTATTGAGTTATGATATAGTGTTATGTATGAGGTAGCAGGCTGACTCTAAAATGTTTATGACAACTGGGACAAACTATTTTTCATAAAAAAATTTCTTTGCAAAGGGGATTCTGTACCGTTGTTCTGAAGGTAGACGCTGAAAGTGGTGATATAATGGATGACTGTGGTACCTTAAAATGTTCCCAATTATTTGTTGGGACTGCCTTTTCATGAATATGGGTCAGTTTGTTTACAGCCTGTGCACTGTGCTGCTAAATTTAACCACCAAGGAAAGCTTTGCCTGACATAATTTTAGGATGGAGGGGTCATTTTGGACTGTTTGACCTTTATACAAATGAGAGCCGTTAAGTCCCAGCTGAACAGCACTTTGAACATCAGTTGTTCACATCATGATGGTAACAGTTAAAACAGCAGAAACAAGAGTTAGAATCTGCCTTTAGGCATCTTATTTTGATCCATCTACTCTATATGATGCTGTGGAGAATACAGAATTATCAACATCAAATACATTCAAAAATATATTACTACTGCCCCCTGGTGGTGCTTTACTTTTATTACTTTGGACCTGACATTCCCTGCAGGACCAAATAAATCGAAGTTTGTATAAATACATACACAAGTATAAATAACATGACTCAGAGACTATGAATGGCAATAAGCTTTTTATTTAAACATTAAGGCAGTGTCTTTTTTTGTTTTCATTTTTACACTGCTATCCACAAAGCTTGCTGGTGGGCATGTAGAATTAAACCATGTGAATATTTCTTTTTCTTTCTTTTTTTTTTTTTAAATCGTAATACCAACCTTAAAGCAAGCCACATAAATATTTACATCTCTTCAGTTTTATATACAATCCTTGCTATTATACAGTGGGTTACAATAAAAAAAAAAATCATTATGCACAAAAATGGTTGAACAATGTTTACCGTTTATGTCAATCCCACCCCACCCCCCACCCCGCCCATGTTTGGACAGTCCAGGGAACACTTCAGAAATCAAAGTTTACATATTGAATGACTGTTTTTGATTTGTGACATGACGGAAATCAAAACAAGCTGTATGCACAACAACAAAATGATGCATGTTAAAATTGTATCAGTGTACTGTTAAAACAATGTACTCGTCTGTCATCGGTTTAGGGAGCAGCTGGATATGGCTTAGTTTGTTTAACTGTCACATTCTTCAATATGATCATGGATTATTAAACACTAAGAGAGATCAATGGACAAACCTGGCTGTACTTTTCCCTAACTGGATGACATAACAAACTGTCTATAGGGGGATAAAATTCAGACCTAAAACCATTTTCTGCAGATGTGGCATGCTTTATGATTGACCATAGGACAGGTATGATGTAAGAGGGAGAGGAGGTAGTCATATAACAGTCATGTTTGTGTAATGACAAAATGAACTACAGATAGGAGCGGTTAGCCTTTGTAAAAAATGTTCACAAACATTGTGTCAGACTTGTCAATCAGAGGAAGAAACCCCGATTGCACAAAGTCAAATGCTAATCTGCAACATTAAAATAGAGAGGGATGTTTTAAACATGGCAGAAAAAATTTAACAAGTGCCCAAATGATTCAGAAACCTAACAGAATGAATATCTTCCCCTTAACATCATCTAACCAGAAGAAAACATGAAGTGTGATAAGAAGTATGTCAAATGTGTGAGTGGAGATAACATGAGATGCAGGCCCTGGTTTGCAGTATTAGTTTGTTTTAATAATATATCTAAACAGTTAAAGTTTTAAAATCTAATAATCTGTGATTGATTTGATGATCGAATGACAAAAAGCACATGTAAAACTTGTAAAAAAAAGGACGTTTTGTTTGCTTGTTTCAGATTTCCCTGCGTGGATAGTTTTCGCCCCGTCATGGGGGGCTTGAAGAAAAAAAGAAAAGGTTGTGCGTCAATTGATAACTTCAGTTCTGTATATGTAAGATAAATGGCACTTAACACTAGGACTATCTCATAATGTACAAAAATCTGCCTGATTGAGGAGTCAGGTCTTAGCTCCTTCCCGAGGCAGTAAAAGGTTAAAGTCAGACCGTCACAAACGGTTCCTAGACGGGATTCTAGCGAGCTAGCTGAAGCCGACGTCGCTTTGGACCGAGGGTTATAGAAAGATGGCTTTTTTTTTCACCACTTTAATGTGAGTAAACTCCAAGTGCTGCTGTGGAGTTTGTCTGTAAGCAGCTTTAAGTTGATGTGCACCTGCTCGAAGCGGCTAAGTCGTCACTGAAATGTGATTGTCGCTTTGAGTGTGGGAGCGATAAAGAACATGATGACAAAAATTAAACCCATAAGTGTGGTAGGATATCTCCGTGATGAGGTGTCCATTCTTAAATCAATTTTTCACCTCCCCCAGGAAACACAGATTCTTAAAAATGCCATTGTGAACAGATTGACAACTAAGTGCTTAATATCCAAAAACGGTTTCAACAAACACAGACATGGTTAATATAAAAACAGTGAGAAAGTGTCACTGGTTTCAGTGCCATCCATCTGGCAAATCATCTCTCCCCGCATGGACGCCTGAAGTCAACAGGCCTTCCCCGTTCCTCAGGACCCCTCCCTCCCCTAATATATGACATCAGCATGAACAGCATGTTTACCCTGTAAACCATGATATGACCCTCCCGCATAACAATCTCTGACCCCCGTCCATTCCCCCCCAAAAAAGATACATCATTGCAGATAATAGACAACAAATGACACCATCAAAGGTTCACCATCAAAATGTACGACAGGTCTCAGCTCACGTTCCAAACACAGGACTGGACTGAATTTAAAAGAAATAACCAAAAAAAAAAGAAAGAAAGGAAAACAGGATGTTGATTCTCCTCTCGTTCGCTTGTATGAATTGTTGTAGTGTTAGCAGCGCGCAGGCCGCCTGCACCGGGAGTCCACTGTGAGGAAACATGAGAGGGTCCACCGCTGTGTTGGTCCGATCTGTTCTCAAAATCTGTCACTCGAGCCGTCGTCAGGTTCATGATCAGACCAACAACAGGACCTCAGAGTCCCCTACTTGCAAAGTGTCAGCACATGAGAGCGCAACACCTAAAAAGTGCAGGTCCATGTGTCTTTATTGTTAAGGCCAGTGAGGAAAAGTAGTAAAGTTAAAAAAGAAAAAGAAAAAGTGATTTGTCCTTTAGAGTAGTTCTGGAGTGAATGCACAAGTGCTAACACACACACACACACACACGCGCACGCACGCACACGCACACACACGCACGCGCACACACGCACACACACACACACTCTCTCTCTCTCTCTCTCTCTCTCTCTCACACACACACACACACACACACACACACACACATATACTCACACATGGAGCAGCAGTGTTACAGCTCAGTGTTGTTGACATGATGCTTGCTTCATGACTGACAGAGGAAATTCAGAGGAGTGGAATGGTGCAGGGAGGTTTGCAGGTGCCAGCAGGTGTGTGCGTGCGTGCGTGTGTGTGTGTTGCTGCAGCAGCAATGAGTGGGTTGACTGTTAGCAGGTCCTGTGGTACGGCAGATTTTCGGGTCACTCGCTGTCAGACAGGGTCTCATACTGAGACATGAGCAGAGGTTTTGGCTCCTCCTCCCAGGAACGGCCCTGTCCAGGTGCTAACCCGGGTCCCTGGCCACCCTGCTGCCCAGAGGAAGGAGAGGGAGCGGAAACTGTGCCGCTGGGGAAACGCATTATCAACGGGTTACACGGGAATGGGGTAGGAGTTGAACCTGCAGAGAGCAGAGTGGCAGAAGAGTTATGATGTGTTTCAACATTTTTCTCCTCTTTTTGAACAACAAGTTCGATAAATTGAATCATCAAACCAGAGGAAAGTGAATCAAAGACTCACAAAAAGGTTTCTTACCGGTGGATGAAGGCCGATCCTCCCACACACGGTTGGTGAGAGGAGTTCGTCTGTTGCAGTCTCCCTCAGAGTGGACCGAGGAGACAGAGGACGGTCTCTCCCCCCCTGACAGGCCCGGTCCTGGAGATTTGGCCTTCCGTCCATTAGAGCGCCCGTTGCCCTTTGAGGACTTTCCCCCACCTGCAGACAGAGGAGTCGGAGCTTAAACCCAGTGTCCCAGTCTCAACAGTGTGGAAATCAAACCAGCTCTTTTAAGAGCCTGGTGGCTCAGTTTTAGAGCTGACACAGTGCAGATGAGAAAACTGAACCACAGGCTTTTGGCTAAAGAGAACAGTAGTATTACTTTAATGTTATGTGCCAACTAATTGAAAGCAAATAATCAAATACATAATTCAATCTCTCAGTATTTTATTTTTTAACTGTTTGTAATAAATAAGATCGACAAAGCTGTTAGAAGAGGCTTCAAAGAAGACTTAAAAATAAGAATTAACTGGAAACATTTAAAAGGGAGGAAAAACTTGAACACAATAACGAGTAAGCATATTTGCCAAATGATTAAATGATGACTCTTTGACTTTTTAAGTAGAACCACTGAGTCAGCAGATCAGATTATTTAAGGTTCAGCTGTGTTCTGCACTAAAAAAAGCCATGAGAACCAGAACCAGGGCCTTGAAGGACACATTTTTAAATTACTCCAAATGTCATTCCAGGATGTTGAAAACTGCTCAAAAATGGACAGCATGGAGGGACTACATTCGTGTCACAGGACGTCTCACCTTGTGAGAAAGAGTCGTCACCGCGTCCGTCAGCCATATTAGAGGACACACCGGAGCCCATCATGTTGGCAGCGTTGGATGGCGGACGTTCTTCAGACTGTTCATCATATTTGCCCATTAAGGCTTTTCTTATGATGGCCTCAAGGCCGATTGAGTTTCCGGGGGTCTCAGGGGTCGGGTGGCAGCGTACACTCACAGGTCCTATGAAAAAGAAAAAGTGTTAAAAAAGTTAAGAGGAAGAAAGCCAGTACAGAGAGTGCAATCACACAGACAGGGTGGGAAGGGGGGCGGAAGATGCAGCGTTGAACAGAGTGAGAAATGATGGTCACAGCATTACAGAGCAGACAAAGGAGAGGCTGAAAAAGCTGATTCCATAGAGAGAAGTACTACATAAAACATCCTTCTTTCCAACATGTTATCCTCTACAAATAAACACATGCTCATTTTAAATCTGAGTATCCATGCTGTGGCTTTAGATAGCAGTATAAGTGGATCTACGTTTTCCTGGTGATGTTTGTAAAATGCAAAGTTTGAAACCAAAACAAAAGTCGCTCATTAACATTGCTGCCTGCAGTTTGTCAGATAAACATTGAGAATATGCGTCATGATGATTTATTTACGTTTTCTGTATATACTAGCTACTTTTAAGCTCTATACTGATGGTCATAATTGAATTCATATTAAAGATGTGGCGTTCAAACTGTATTTATTTGTTTTGCTTAACATTAGTGTGAGGATGATGTGATGTGTTACATGGATATTTATGTTTGCAGAATGAAGAGCTTTACATGTATTGATCACCTTCTATTAAAAATAATCCACTCTTCATTTTCACTGATTCATGGTGTTTTATAAAGGGATCTCGTCTCACTTTAATATATTCAATAACTGTTGAGGTTTAAAAAGAAGATTACCTGCAGTTGTAGATGCTGGCATGTTGAAGATCTCTGTCCCAGGCTGACCTGCATCTGGAGAGGGGAACAGAGTGTCAGTTTGGAAGTCAACTCTCTTCATCAAATCAAATCCAGCGTTATCTACTCGTTCTCAAATGTGCACTCGTGTCTGTGCTGAGCTCACACTTACTGAAATCCACCTCATTTCCCATCACAGTCATCTTCTTGCTCATCTCTTGTTTCTTTGACCTGACAATTTCTGACGTGTTCTCAGTCATCTTGCTGAAGAAAGCTGGAGGCTGCGAGGCGTTGGGAGGGGAACGGGAGCCCATCCTGCAGAAGGGGAAGGAGAGCCAGGTTAATACACACACACACTAACAAAGGTCTGTGAAATACCCAACAATTACTAAATGTAGTTAAGATGAAGTATGGTCTGTAAATCACTCATGACCAGAGGTGAGAGTTGGAGCATCAACTGGCTGGTAAATTGAGAACTTGAAATTGTATACAATTGCAAAAAATAGGACAGCCTCTGACTCCCACCCTGAAGGGGGTAATACAGCCCACCCTGCCTGGGAAAAAGTGTCTAAGGTTTCTCAGTGGGACAACTTAAAACTGACAGCACCCACTTAAGTTATACAAGCAATAAAAACTATTTGCAGCGAGCTCTTTCTGTGGACGTTTACAGTAATGTGAGCCGTTAGTTACCCCTGATCCCCCTGCTCATTGGGGTAGGAAGCCCCTCCCTGGACTTCAGGCTCAGAGTTTGCTCCGGCAGGAGACACGGGTTCAATTCCGTCATTTGAGACCGGGGATGACTTGGGCTGAGGAGGAGATCTGTAAACAAAGACAGAAAAACTTAAGAAGGATTCTCCGGCTGTACTCAAATCAGAATTTTGTCAGTCAAATCAAACTTTGGTGTTCAAATTACAAGCTTTGACTTTTAGATCCACACCAAACTCCTGTATCAACCTACAAAATATTTACCAAACACGCTGGCCGTCCCCAACACGGGAGCAAGCTAAATGAATCCTAACCAAAAAGAAAAGATTAACAACCTCCAACAACGAGTTGGAGATCCCCTCATAGACGTTGATTCATTTTGTCATGTGCTTGCCAAAGAGCATCAAGGAACACAGACTTTGAATATTTAGAGTTTTTACTGGTTATATTCACAAGATCTGAGTCCATGTGGACTGAGATAGGGGTGCAATGATTATAGATTTTGATTGTACTTTTATAGTCTGAAGAATAACCTCAGTCTCACAATTATCATGCATGAATTAAATTTAGAAATCTTAATGATAGTTATTGCTGCCTTTGGAAACAGAATAGTTGTCAATAATACAGTACAAAATGATAAATACATTTTTTTTTATGTTATGTATTAGTACATCGTTCTGAATAGGTTGGACAAAATAGAATACTCTGCCCCCTTTTTTGAGCGTGAGAACAGAACCACCCGATGCACCGGAGCCTTTATGGTTAATGAACCATGACGTTTTAAACCGTGCTTAATAGTGTAACCAGTTAACCTCAACATGCCTAGACTGAACATGAATCCAATCAATCCAAAGTGACTGACAGTATTACTAACACTAGTACAAAAGGGTGAAAGGCATGTTAAGTAGACGGCGCTCCCTGTGATAAACATTTTTCTGTAGTTTAAGAATGTTGATGTTTGAGGGAGATTCCTACCGTTCTCTGAGTCGTTCTCCACCAAGGCTGTCCACATATCGGGGCCCTGGAGCGGACTCCTGTGAGGTGGGAGGGGGCTGGGAGGCACTGGGAGGACGGGTCAGGTCCAGGACAGGAGAGCCGTGGTAGCTCTGCTGCTGCTGTTGCTGCTGCTGACTCTGCCTGGTGTAATCTTTAGTTATCACCTCCTGTTTACGTAAAGACAGACAACAACATCAGCGTTTCATGACAAAACCTGTTCTGTCCAGCACTTTAATACTGAGTTCTCCATGCAGTATCTTTACTCTTCCTCATGTTATTGTGCTGTGTTTGTTATCTGTGATACTTTGGTCAGTGGGACATACGCTGATGTGCTGTGCCAGGGTGACCACCCTCTGGCTGCCCTTCACATGGGGAGATGGGGGCTGCTGGCCTGGAGACAGTCTGTCCTCAGGCGGAGGACCGTAAAGACCATGTGGCTCCATCTTCTGCTGAGCTGAGAGTCAAATCCAAAGAGACACACACACAGACAAACATGACATCCACACAATGATAAAAGTTAGATTGTTTTTCATACAGCGGGGACACAAAGATCTCTAATATATTCTCATTAACAATGCAGAATTCAGAAATATCTGGCTATCAATAAGGACTTAAGGTAAAAGTGAAACTTAAAACATTTCAAGTGGTACCATCACATGAAAGCTACAGAAATACTTTTATCCGTTTATTTAATTATAAAAGCTTCCAGCGTTTCCCACACATAGACGATACTATACTCATGGCTGTGCAACCAAGTATATTTCAGACCTGCTTTTATTTATAAATTAAATTGCCATGAGCAAGAGAGAGCAAGTGAGAGAGCAACCGAGAGCAAGAGTGAGAGAGAGATATGCTGCACTGAAATTGACAATGTCCTGACCTCACTGTAAGCACAGATACCGAATGCAAATCCGTGCGCACAGTTTATAAACCATGACCACAGTTTACTGCAGGGATTTGGAAACCGTGGTTACGGATTTGCAAGTGGCTGTTTTTTCTTTTTTTCTTTTTTAACTGGACCTTTGGATGTTTCATAAACTCAATTTTAAGAAGTTTCACTTGTGGTTCCGTTTTCACAACAGATGAGCCTCCTGTGGGGAGGCTTTTTATCCAGACTCAGTAAAACCAAGAGAAGGTAGAATTACATCAGCATTAGAGAGAGGGAGGGAGAGAGAGAGAGAGAGAGAGAGAGAGAGAGAGAGAGAGAGAGAGAGAGAGAGAGAGAGAGAGAGAGAGAGAGAGAGAGCATCTCATGTCAAAACAAACACTTTGTTTCAGAATTTTTCTGAAGCTGCTGATGCTGTCCTGCACTCCTGGCGTCATCATCAATAAGACTCCTTATACGCGATTCAGTTGATGTGATAACGGAATAGTGAGTGAAACTTTTCAAACCACTAGTAATCTCATTTGAGGTTTCAACACCTCCCCCCCCCATGGGATCTTCACCACCCAGGTCATTCTGTAGGAAACACTGGCTTCTATCTAAATACATTATACTCTTTGCATAGAGACCTAGCAAGCATAACACTGCCCTGAAATGGTGCTAAAATTAAATAGTTTTGCATCAATGATTCATAAATGGAGAAGTCACAGAACCTCAGATTTTAACTGACATCATCTCTGTTACATTACTCCAAAACGTATTGCCTAAAGAAAATACCATTAAAAAGCACTGACTGACTGTCATGACTATAAGCTCTAAAAGTCTTCAAAGTACCCCGCGGCACTCACACAAACCATCTATATATATATATTAGTACTTTAACAAGTGTTGTTCCTAGGAGCCTATTAGAAGGTGTTTTCCCACGTGCATTATGTCTCATTTTGTGTTTTCTCCTTGCACTATTCATCTCAGGAGATGCTGATGTAAGCGGAGTGGGGGGGGGGGGGTTGTATTAACTGTATTAACTCTAGGGAGGGGGATTGTCCCCAAGAGGATGCTGTGGTAGTTGTTGTTAGCTAGCAAAAACACAAGATACTACAGGTTCTTTTCAACAGCAGCTAACCATAGTTTTCATTTCACTCTGGTTTGTGATTGCATGCCAACAGCAAGGTGATGATGTTCTATTAATAGGTCTGCCTAGCAGTCTTGTCTGTTTTGAGAAGCATGCTTCCTGTTGACTTAAACCACAACACTCATCTGGACTCAGCATGCGGTTTTTACTCGCCCCAGAGGCTTGTAATTTATATAAATGAAACACGTTGCTCTACAGAAACAACAAAACAGAATCACATTCCAAATGACGGACAAACTCCCCGAGGTTTGATTGAGAGAGATGTGTTGAGCGTGTGGCATGTGGCATGTGTGAGAAAAACAAAACAAAAACAATCAGCATAAATTACAGTGAGCCATAAATAGGTACATGCAGAGATTTGTGTGTGTGCGGGAGGGGGGGATGCTGCAGGACCCCTCTCCGCCTAGAAGTCTTTTCCGTGCCCCCTTACCCACCCTCTTCCTGTGCAACACCAGTGCTCTCTGGGACCCCAGGGAGTCAGTTTGGTGGTTGGTAATGCTTTCAATGATGTTTAATAAAAAAAGGGACTCACACCAATTCTCTATTCTCCTTCAGACATGTCGGTTAAATATGGGCCACAGAAAAATTCAAATATGCCTCGGAGTATAGACAGGAAGGAGTGCCTCCGTGTCTGAATTACAGGCAGTCTCATTTAACATCGGAAGAAGCTTCCGGCAATGAAATGCCTCATTGTATGTGGTGAAATATTTGTTATAAAGTACGCAGCCGAATGGGAAAAAGAAGGGGTGCCCCAAGTTAAATTCAAGACACATCCTCTACAAAAAGAAAATGAAAATAAGCAGCAAAGGATGTTCTGCCTTGATGTCCCAGTAGGTTTACTACCTTAAAAAGGACACCTTAAAGGACACCTCGGATCTTCTTCATAGAAAATGTTATTTTGGTTGAGTTGTTCGCCTTCAATATTAGATCACTGATTTATCATCACTGCCTCTTTTTATCTGATCTCAGCCAGTCAGGTCCAATTTGAACTGGCTAGAGGTTTGGTTTTCCAGAGGGCACCCTTGGTGGTCTTTAAGTCTGTAAAGAAAAACTAATAATAAAACTGGAATAAAGCAAAAAAGTATAGCATTGAAGGAAAAAATAATGTAAATGAATTGGGCTGATTTGATAATGCCAACCACCACAGCGTGCAATAGGCCACAGACTGACGGGGGAGGGTCTTGGTGATGAGGGGGGACCCTGGGATCCAGAGCGTCTTACCATCAGTGGCGCTGCTGGCAACAAGCGAACCGGTCTCTGGCATCCCCGTTTCACAAGAAATTTGACGCATAATAATCGCGTTTATGAAGTTGGCCGCAGTCATGGTGGTCTTACCGAGTGCTCGGAGCTCTTGTTCCTGAATGGACATCGGTTTGTTTTGAGTCTTTTCCCTACTAGGAGTACCGCTTTCTCCACGGCCAGAAGGGTTATCCAACTGGTGGGGTAGGAGGTGTTGTTGCCGGCCTGAAGCCGTGGGATAGGGACCCGGGTACATTCCTCCTGGACTTGGGCTGGACAGCTTGGGGTCAGATTTGCTTGAGGGCCCGTGCTGGTCCGGTACATGCTTGGGTAGACCTCCCCTGTTTTTTCCTCCATCCCGACTCTGCTCTTTGGCTACACTTGAGTCCATGGCAGGTGGGTAGGCCTCAGGAGGCACACCGGTCCTTTGGAGGTGGCCGGGGTAAACTTGGTAGCGGCCCGGCCCAGAAGACATGGTCCTGGAAATCAAACAAAACACACTAAGTAAACAAGGCAAAGAAAATGTTTTGTGAGAGTCACTGGATCTTGAAAATGTCCCAGTGTTACAAAAACAGAACTAGTTTGGTTTACCGAAACACAGAAGAGCTGGAGTGCTCGCTGACAGAGAGACTCTTGCCCCCGGTGTTGTGCAGGACGCTTGGCCTCTGCTGCACGTTCTCCTGGGTGCGCGGGGACACTGGGGAGTGCTGGTGGCTGTACGGCTGGGAGGAAGGTCTCACACTACTGCTACTACTGCTTGCCAAGCTGTGCTCTGTACCTAAGAGGCACAAACATGTTCATTTTATTCAACAAATCTTTATCTCTCCATTAAAATGGTTTTGCTGCCAGTATGTTTCTTTTTAATTGTAGATAAAAAAGTATCAGGTATGGCATCTGTTCCATACCTGGTCTCCAGATGGGGGCATGCTCCACATTTCCAATAGACCCGCCCTTCTCTCTGTCACGTTCTCTGTCTCTGTCTCTCTCTCTGTCGCGGTCCCGTTCCCTCTCCCGCTCTCTCTCTCGCTCTCTTCCTCGATCTCTCTCCCGGTCCCGCTCACGCTCCCTCTCTCTCTCCCGTTCTCGTTCACGTTCCCTGTCCCTCTCTCGGTCCCGTTCACGATCTCGCTCACGCTCTGAAGATGAGGACGCGCCCGGCATCTTGTTCATGTGCGAGGACCCAACTGTAAGAAAAGGCAAGGAGAGAAAAAACATTATAAACAAAACAAAACCAGTGCAACATTAGAGCAGTTACTGATGAGATGTGAATTCTACCTGGTGAGATGGGGGAGGTGGTGTATGGCCTGCCAGGGAAGGTTGCGCTTCCCCCGGGGATGTAGGTGATGCGGTCCATGGGGGAGCCGGCTGCCCCTGCAGAGGGAGGGACCAGGACAGGTAAGTGTGGCACCTGAGAAAGATCGATGATCCCTAGAGAACAGAAAGAAGGGACTGTTGAAGGGAACACAAAAGATAATAGCTGGTTTTGTTTGGGTCTCGGAGGATAAGAGATTGCAGGTTAAGGTACACTTAACATTCAGCTGTAACATAGATCAAGCACAAGGTATTTATCAAACCTAAAGAGGGAACTGCTGTTTGTCATTAGGAATGCTATGGTCTGAGTTTATGTCATAGTGAATATGCAGTTAACAAAAACCTGTTATGAATAAATATTATTGAAATCAACTTTAGAATAAAAATAAATAAGAAATGATGAATCGCCTCCAGGGAAGAATTTACCCGCTGGTTCAAATATGGAAAATGTTTAATCAAGAAACAAAGATGAAAGTGAAAACAGAGGCTTAAGAGAAGAGAATAGTTGATACCATAAGACTTTGCTATAGTGAGTGTTTCAAGACCAAGATACTAAAGTCAGATGCAACCCATGTAACTGTTAATACTTGCACTTCAGTTTGTTGAAGTCCATGAAACTGAAATCCAAACTCACTAATTGCTCGCTTACTGCCCCTAGCTGACAATATTTAAATTTAAATTAATTAAATTGATTGATTTCAGGAATACGAATGATAAATGCTTTCACAAATTACATCCATTTAA